CGATCTTGAAAGTATCGCAACGACTGTAACGGAAGCATCAACACCAACAGCGACGGATCAAAGCGCGACGCTACGTACTTACCAGTTCCAGTTACTACTGTTCGCGACCGACGAAAACTCGATCCTACGAGCGCTCCAGCATTCGCGCGACCACTGGCACTGGACGTAATACAATTAATGGAGGCATTGGAGCGGAGTACGTCGCGGTATTAGGTCGTTACCAGTTACATCTCTTCGCGACAGATGAAGCGGTTGAGATCGCGCGACTCTTCATACTTACTAGTTGCAGTTACTACTGTTTGCGACCGACGAAATCGCGGTTCAGAAAAGTTTTCTTGTAAAACAGTTACTGCGGTTCGAGCTAATTCCAAGAGCGATTATAAATAATTTATTTGCAAATTACAAATAATTTTAGTTTTGTCGTTATTATGATCGTTGTTCTTCAGTAACATGTTCCTGATTCGTTGTGGAGCGCGACACGATGTTAGAAAAACACATCACTAACGTACATAACTGAGTTTCATAAGCAATTTAACAGTAGGTATGTAAATAACCTGAATAATTTATGCCTAGTAATTTATTTCCTTCCTGGCATTCTTAAGGCGCGGCTGGAAACAGAATGTAAAAAATAATTTTAAACCGGGAAACAACAGGTATTATTTACAACCTATTGACCCGGTTACTTCATGAAACTAGGTCCCTAAGGAAGCCAGGAAGGCGTAAAAATAGATCTAAAGCACCAAGCCCTGAAATTTCAGATATATATTACATTGTCTTTCTTCGTCTCTGGGTGTTTCAACCCCTTGCGTGCCGGAAGGTGGTTTGTCAGGCTCTGAAATATTAGGTTACAATTCGGGGAATAACTGTAGTTTTCAAATTGGAAATATTGATTGATTTTAGTTTAATTTATAATTTTTATTAATAAAAAAATCTGAACAACTGTGTAACGTTTCTTTCTTGTTCTTTAACTGTCGTATTTTTATTTGGTTGTGTTTACATACATACAGGGTTATTCACCTCATTCGACCCGGAGTATGTAGCCACATAATTAGATTTTTAGAAATTCTGAATGATAGGGTCGTTGGAGGACTATTCAAATTCAATTTAAAATTATTTTCAAAAGAAACAGAGTGTCACAAATAAATAAAAAATATCAAATATATATTTTTTTAAATGGAACATCCTGTACAGGGTGGGTCAAATTCGACGCTTTTAAATGGAAACACCCTTTTCTATAGGAGGTAGACAAAAACTAATATCGGTGTCTGGAGCTCAATTTTTGTCAAAAACATGATGGTGAAAACCGCATATCGATATCTGTTACCGTTTCGGAGTTACGGGGTGTTTTTCAAAAATATGCATTTTTAACAAATCTCTGTAACTTTTTTGCTATGAAAAATTTTGTATTTTTATGAAAACATTTCCAAAGCACCTTTTTACGTAGAATTTAATGGTTTAAGTAAATTTCAGGATGAATTATAATTAACTTAGAAATGTATGGATATCTTAAAAAACATCTTATGAACCCAATCGACAAGGGATTTCATCCTTGATTATTTTTTATAAATTGTGCTGAATTCACTCTTAGTTTTCCTTTTCAACCATGTTTGCCATGTGCCTTTTGAGTTAGCGCTTCTGCAACCTCACCAAGAACTAGAGCTAGAGCGATTTATTGTCTGTAAAATTAACCATTCCAGAAACTTTTAGAGAAAATTACTAAATCAGCAGACAATTTTTGACTGATATGTATTTAATAGATGGTTATTTTCTTTTATCTATGGATATGTATGACCTGTCACATGTTTACAGAATGAGATTGTAGGGCAGGGGAACTAAGCTGTTACTAACAAATGTGAATAGGTCTGGTAGATGGGGGAATTACAGAGTGGGTCAAATTCGACGCTTTTAAATAAAAATACCCTTTTCTATAGGAGATAGACAAAAACTAATATCGGTGGCTGGAGCTCAATTTTTGTCAAAAACATGATGGTGAAAACCGCATATCGATATCTGTTGCCGTTTCGGAGTTACGGGGTGTTTTTCAAAAATATGCATTTTTAACAAATCTCTGTAACTTTTTTGCTATGAAAAATTTTGTATTTTTATGAAAAAACATTTCCAAAGCAAAACCTTTTTACGTAGAATTTAATGGTTTAAGTATATTTTTTAAAATTAATAATTTAAGAATTATCACCAGAAAATTTGATTTTTATATGGGACACCCTGTATATTTTAATTTATTGAAAAGAATTTAAAATTACCTTTCCAAAATATAACACACTTGATATTTTTGCTCGATTCCTCTTCGAGATATAGAGTATATGAAAATTCGCTCGCTTTAAATAAGTAGGCTTTGAACGGCACCGGCTGTATACAAAAACATTCTAGCTGTGAGCATCAATTAAAACAAAAATAATATTTGCAATGAGAGATACAGAATTTTATAACAATTTAAAATATATTTAACCAACATCAACATATTTAAACTATATCTAATAACAATAAAAATAAGTAGCAAACCAAGACATGAGATTTTGTTACAGGTGTTCGACATATCGACCGTCTTCTGTTATGGGCAGACGGGGCAGTTTTTGAACATTTCTCGCGGTATTCATTAACTCAGTGGGGGTGAAAGATACCCTCTCATAACTGCTAAGTATTTCTAATTTTTGTCTAAATTATACCGAAAAATAAGGAACATTTATTCTTCTGCAAATATATCAATATGATTAGATCCATGGGCACTAAGTCAGGCGACCTCGACGGCCAACGGCTGGGATCTTGGTTAGCTATTCAATTATTCATGAAATTGGCTGCAAAAATTTGCTGATAACTTCAGCGTTCAGAGGCGGTGCGTCGTCTTGCTGGAAAAATATGTTTTCGAGTTCCATTAAGGGCATATCATCAATAAGGGGTCCAAAGCCTACTAGTTAAAAGTGGCGAACTTTTAAAAATTCTGTATTTCGAAGGGGATTATAACAAAATATCAAGTGTGCTATATTTTTGGAAAGGTAATTTTAAATTCTTTTTTGTTAATTAAAAATATAGAGGGTGTCCCAAATAAAAAATCAATTTTTCTGTTGATAACTCTTAAATTATTAATTTTAAAAAAATTATACTTAAACCATTAAATTCTACGGAAAAAGGTGCTTTGGAAATGTTTCCATAGAAATACAAAATTTTCCATAGCAAAAAAGTTACAGCGATTTGTTAAAAATGCATATTTTTGATAAACACCCCGTAACTCCGAAACGGTAACAGATATCGATGTGCGGTTTTCACCATCATGTTTTTGATGAAAATTGAGCTCCTGACACCGATATTAGTTTTCGTCTATCTCCTATAGAAAAGGGTGTTTCCATTTAAAAGCGTCGAATTTGACCCACCCTGTACAAGGTGGCGCCTCTCATACGACGCGGAGGGTGGAAGAAGAACGGTAGTTTATATCAAAATGAAATTTTGGGAACATATGTAGGTTAACTGAAAGCAACTTTAAAAAGTATAGAGAGTTCTAGAGGGTGTCCTAAGAAAAGTTACAAATTAAAGTTTTGTTTTTTTTTGTAATGGAACGCCCTATATATTAATTGCTTTTCGGATTCTAGGTGGAAAATAAATATGAGTTTCATTAGAGAAGTATATGAGTAAAATGCAAGGTTTTTGACATATTTAACATTTTCTAAAAATGAAGAACAATTTTTAAATTTCAATAAAATCTACTTAAACTGGAATTTTATCGGTATAGCCTAATATGTAGTTAAAACAACTATTGTACTTTAAATCAAATTAAATTTTTACTCAAAAAGTTATACAGGGTGAGACAAAATTAATATTGAACATTGACTTTCTTTTTTTTTTGAACAACCACTTTTAAAAACAAGTTACTCTTTTACTTTAAATGGAACACACAGTATATTATTCCGATATTCTATGAAGAATTTGCGTCTTTTTAAAATATTATAAAGGTTGTTTATCTTTCAATCATAGATTTTCCTAGGTATTTTCATTTTCATGACTTAGTGTAAAAAGATCTTTATTATTTGATAATTAATAAAAAAATCTAGGTGGCAGTAATATGCCTGACGTTACTTCAGCATAGCGGTCAAATTAGTTCAACTTTAACAACTAGTTATCATTTTGTGTCAGTTAAAAGAAAACAAATTCTCAGAAATTTTCCGAAAATTAAAACTTATCCAACATGAGATAGAAAGTGACATGATTCTATTGATTGATGTCTGGGGTGTGCATTCACCCATTCATGGAATGCTTAAATGCATTCCTGATTCATCTAGTTTGGGCTTTTTTTTTCTGGGGATATGTTAAAGACAGTGTTTACAAATTCCAACCAACTATTATCGACAACACGAGAGAAATGAATGTGGCTGCTTTTCGAAGTAGAACTCCACATATGCATCTTAACATGAAAAGATTTTTTGAAAAGAGAATCATTTTATGCAGTGAATAGGAAAAGAAGCCTTTTGAGCGTTAGGTTTCAACTACTACTATTTACTTCTTGACTAAAGGGTAGGCAACCTTAAAAATATTTTGAAGATATAATATGAAGTCTCGATCGAATATCGGGGGAATAAAATACTGGATGTCCCTGGCTGACCATGATAATTCTTATGGTATGGGGTATGAATTCCATTTTTTAAGCCAGTAATAAAAAGTGGCATTTTTTGGAAACTTTTATCTACCCTGAAAAAGTAAAATGCTGCAGACAGGTATTTTTTTATGTCTACATTTTATGGAATTTATTTTTAGAACAAACTAATCAATCTCTAATAGGTCTGGACACATGCATTTATTTAATATTGTTTACTCATTAAACCAACTATTTTAAAACGTTTACTATCGATAAAAAATCTTTGTTCGTTCAATGCCGCTCTGAAATAATTTTTTATGATTTTTCGAATATTTTCTTAATATAACATCGACATAAGTATTTAAACGTATAATAGCAAATTTATTACAAACAATATAAAAATATTACATTCTTTCAGGATATTTTATCCAAGAAAAACGCCACCATCAGTGACCTTCAATACGAGTTGGCCAGAGTGTGTAAGGCGCACGACGATCTATTGGAAACTTTCGAGGAAAAAATGAAATTTTACGGAATACCTAAGTCGGAGCTGGGTTTCGCCACTTTGAGGATGGTGCCACAAGGTCAAGGGGGGTTGTCGAGGGGACCTGCGGGATTGGTAACTCAAAATAAATAAATTGATATGATGATAAACATTTTTTGTTTCATTTTATACCTTCCTCAAAATAACAATAGCAAATATACAGGGTGATCCGAACTGTATTCAACAAACTTCGACAGCATATTCTGCAGATAAAAATAAGTAAAAAAGTCCGTAGAAATGTATGTCCAAATATGTTTAGTTTCGGAGATACCGGCCGTAGAAGTTTCATTTTTATTTCGATTTTTTTCCAACTAATTTAAGAAGTAACGTCAATATTTGAATGAAAATTGGCGTCTGCAATTTTTTTTGACATGAGAAATTTGATTTTGATGTCAATATGACTCCTATTTGTAAGGGGCGCCACCTACATATTTCTTAACTGGTTTGAAGAGTAATAACTTTTCATCCGTACCTGTATAAAACTACCGAAACATGGGCGCCGGACAGGGGGGGCAAGAGGGGGTATTTGCCCCCCCCCCCCTGGATCACTGAAACAATAAAAATAAAAGCTATCTTCCATCATTACATCCATCTGTAAAAAAATAATTATTATTATGAAATTTTTAGGTGTTACCTGTAAAATAATAAAAAATGTGGTAATTATTGGGAAAACTGGAAATCGTCCGATTTTCACCAAAATTGGTATACACACTATTTTGAGGTCGTAGATTACGTATCTACTTTTTTCTTGACGGTCTCTTACCGTTTATCAGAAAAACGGAAAATTATTTCAACATTGAATTTTTCTTTATTTCGGCCCTATAAAGTAATAAATTCACTGTTTTCATTATATTATCTAAAAGTTTATCTAAAAGCCACACTTGATTGGGGATAGAAAAATGTCCAACATTTTACTGAAAAACACTTTTCTTATCAAAATAGCAAAGAAAATTGAAACCAGATGGTAGTTTGACATTTGATATATCCTTCTTTCTCTCTCTTATGTAATAAGAGAGACAAATATATCCTAGACCTAATCTAGAAATTTGAAAATTTACAACGTTGCTATATCTTCGGGTGATTAGGGATTTTAAATAAATTACCTATTATGAGATCGACAATAATTAAATATACACCTATATCCACAAAATTACACCCGGAAGAGTTTTGATTGCATTGGTTTCTTGCAGAGGGGGTTAATCTTTTTTTGATATAATATAGCAACAAAAGATTAACAACCTCTGCATGGAAGTTGTAACCAATGCAATCAAAACTCTTTCGTGCAACTTCGTGGGTATAAATAGTCAAATCTCGTTGGTAAAATATCAGTTATGGGAAGAAGCCGTTCTTCTGGCGACCGCCTTTCGTAATTCGAGAATGAGCGAAAAAAACACGCTAAATTTAGGTTTAGCATTGGCAGCGTTGCTTTAAATGCCAGAAACACGTAAGCTTACTTCGGGTTTCTCTTATTACCGATTCTGAACCGTCCTAGAACTGTGATGCGTATGCGCAGAAGGAAATATGAAGACATTATTTCATTTGCGCATGCGCTGCAGAGTTCTTGGACGGTTCAGAATCGGTAATAACAAGAACCCGAACAAAGCTATAACCTAACATTTTCAGATTGTTTACAAATTTATTTTAGCAAATTTTCCTCTATTATGCATAGAATTGGTTAAAAAAGTAACAGAAAATAGCAAAAACATTATTGATTATTGAATACCTAACAAAATATGTGCTAGAAAACCTTAAAAATATGAAAAATTAAGAAAAATTCGATATTGAAATTATTTTCCGTTTTTCTGAAAAACGGTAAGAGACCGCCAAGAAAAAAGTTCAGATTCGTAATCTACGACTTCAAAATAGGGTGTATACCAATTTTGGTGAAAATCGGACGATTTCCAGTTTTCCCAATAATTACCAAAAATGTCAATTTTTTAATCATTTTTACCTTGCCCCCCCCCTAAATTTCATTCTTCCGGCGCCCATGTACCGAAAGGTAAGTAAGAAGGTAAAGTAAAAATGTCCCTCGGTAAAAATCGCTACTAGTAATGGTTCTCGAGATATTTGGAATCGAAAATATCAATACCTGTCATTGACATCAATTAAACATGTTGGCTAAATAGTTATTAGACTGTAATCATAAATTCAAAATGTTTTTGTGCCAAAAGAACTACAGAAACTGTTTTATCATCATTTTTTCGCAGAAAGATTTATGATTTATTTAAAAAAAATCCAATAACTATCTACCAAGCGTTTTTTTGTCAATAATGACGTATTGACTATTCCATTCTAAATATCTTGAGAACGGTTGCTCGTAGAGATTTTTACCAAGACACATTTTTTACGTAAAAAGTCACGGAAATGTCTATTTTTATACTCAGTAGTTTAATACAGGTACGGACGAAAAGTTATTGCTTTTCAAAACAGTTTAAACACATATATGTGGCGCCCCTTACAAATAGGACTCATATTGACATCAAAATCAAATCTCTCATGTCAAAAAACTCCCAGTCACCAATTTTCATCCAAATATTGACGTTACTTCAGAAACTTCTACATCCTATGTTTCTCCATTATCCTGTAAAAACATTTTAGGCCATATATTTATAAGAACTTTTTTACTTATTTTTATCTGCAGAACGTGCTGTCGAAGTTTTCGGAATACAAATAGGACCACCCTGTATAAAGATATTAGGGTACTGCGGTGGTGCCAACAAATCTCTAAAATGGTGGATAAATTCACCAGAGCAGAGACAAGCGAATCATTTTCAGTAGAACGCCAAAAATTACGACAGACAGAAATACAGTCAAACTGTAGCAGTAACAGGAGTAACAGGGAATGTAAGCTTACAATGTTACAATGCAATTGTGAGCTTACAATGCAGCTGCCTAGGCATCTAAAGCCGATGGAATTGACGGACGAAGGTACATGACGTACAGGTTCTGTCAATCTGAAGAAGAAACGACAGAACACATTTTATGTCTGTTCGACAACCTGGTAAATATGCGGTTCTTTGTACTAGCCAATGATAAGCTATTGACAACGCATGATATGAAGGGTTCAGTCTCCAAGTGGCTAGACTTTGTGAAAGGGATAGGACTGGAGAATGTAATCTAATGATGAGGATCAAAACAGATCTGAAAATGTTGCAGTGAAAGTTGGAGAGATTCATTGCCTCATAGACCGTAATACATTATTTTTCACGAAATCTATAAATCAGTTTTAATAATTTTCCCATTTTATACATAGCTCTCAATACTCCATCTTCGAAATCAGGTTTTTAACCTTCCCACGCTGGCAGCATTCGTCTGCATGAGGCCCTTTATACCTCCGTGATAACGTTAAACGTGAAAATATTCACTAAGTATAATTATCATCAACAAGAGAAGCACTTTCACTTCAGTATCTCCTGAAATCCGAATTTCTTCCTGAAAATTCCTGAAATCCGAAATTCCGAAATCCAGACTTCCGAATTGTCAGCCAAAGCACGAGGTTGTCACGACGACTGACAGAACGGAAGTATTATTTTTTTAAGCGAAAATGTCAAAAGTTGACATATTATATTATGTCATTATACGCAGAATATCGTTTCCTATCACATAAAGTTAGAAATACTACGGTACTTTTAAAAATCAAAAGTTGTAGTCATTTCCGGTGAAACAGGTCATATACTAACATACCAAATCTTGTTTTTATCTAAAAAAAAATAAAAATTATAGGGGCAAGCCACTTTTGAAAATCATCCGGTATATAGGGTGAGTCAAAACTGGATACAATATTTTTTCACGACGCCTCACAGTAGGCAATATGTCCAAACCAAGTTGCAAAAAATAACATCTACAGTTAGCATTTATGGCAATAACATTAGATTGGAAACATATTAGTTAAGAGAAAACCACATAAAACTAACAAAAAACATATTCGGAGTCTCTTTCGTGTGGCTGTAAAACAAACTTTGAGCAAAACGTACATTTTCAGTTAATTTGTGTCCAATAACTGCCTTTTTTCTACAATTTTTTAAATAGTAGGCGTTGCATTCAAGTGACACAGTATTATAACAATTGAATCGGACGACCTTAGCTCAGAGGGGTGACAGTGAAATAGGAAAATTGGAAACAGTCATTAGTGTCATTCCTGTCATTCTCCTCACGACAAGTATGGCCGCCTAGACAAGGACAGCATTGTTTTTGTCTAACTATTGTCTAACTTCACAGTTTAGAATTGACAGATTTCAGTTTCAGAGACAGCTTCAGATTTGTTCTAGAACAAATTATAAAATATTCGACGCCATTTTAATTAATTCCGTTTAGTTTCGTTTTGGAAGTTCAATTTAATATTTCGGCTGAAATTTATAAATATAAAAGTAATAAAGTATATAAAATATATATTACATGAAGAATCCTGGAGAAAATGACGTTTCTGCAATAGTAGGTATGTCCCATGTATATGAAAAATAGGTAGTAAATAAACACTGTTTCTACATTTTTTAGATGCAAGAAAATGGTGTTATAATCTCTTTGATCGGCGATTTTTTTGAAAATCGAAACAATTTACAGCAAGGTAAGATCATTTTTAACTATAGCCAACATTAGTTATCTCCAGTATGTGCGATTTATTGGCAATAATGCAATAAATCGGACTGATAATCTGATTATGTTATCCGACTAAGTCTCTTTTTGCTTCTTTTTGATTTATAAGCCAGGTCTCTCAGGGAATAATGGACGCTTTTTTTAAACAGTTTATTTATATTTTATACCTATTGATATTTTTATATTGTTAATTTTAGTATAAAAAAATTTGTTTTTCTGTTTTCAGGTTTTTGTATAAGGCTCCCGTTTTCATGTTCCCGTGTCCGTTTTCTGTCCTTGAAGTCTGCGAATACGTGTGTTTATTTACAAATTACTGTAAGTCATGCTTATACCTTAACTAATTTACATTAAAAGTGCATCTAATTAACTAATTGGTATTGAAACAATACAATCCTCTATATTTTTATATTTATTTAGTCACGTTGTTCCATATTTGAAATAAATATATGTGAATAAATTATTTTTTGGTTTTATTTATGAAAAGAAAAAATACAAAATGCATTTGAA